CTGGGGCCTTATTTTTTGCTATTTCCTTCAAAGTAGTTTAGGTTCATTAAAAAAACAAACACACTTCCGTGTTGTTTTTGCCTAGTGGCAAGGAGCTGCAACTACAATCCCAGAGGCGCACGGTTCGAATCCACCAGATGCTCTGCCGGGGAAGGAGGGACCATCTCCTCCTGTACCAGTCAGATCTGACTTGACTCACACACACACACACACAAAATTTAAAAAAAAATTAAAAATTAAAAAAACAAACACACACAAACAAAAATCACCAAACTAGTTGCTGTCAAGTTAAGTCCAACTCAGGTCTCATGCCTCATGCGTTTTGGGGTAGCACTGTGTCTCCTAAGGTTTTCAGTGGCTCATTTTTCAGCAGCAGAGCCCTAGGCACTGCAGGGCACTTCTAGGTGGATGCCAACCTCCAGCTTTTCTGTTAGCTGCTGAGCACATTAACTCTTTTTTTTTTTTATTTTTTAATTTCTTTATTTTTCATTTCAATGAACATCTACAGAGATTTTGGAATTCCATTCATTCATTGTTGCACTCTTCTCCCCACACACCCCACCTCGCCACCCCCACATTAACTCTTTAAATGCCACCTACGGACTCAGGCCAGTAAAGGACCTACTGTGTGCTGGGGGCCTATGCCCTTGTCCCCTAAGCCCTGCTGCACTCTGGGTTTTCTGGGCCCCTTGATTCTGTCCGGCCTGATCCCTTCCTGGTGAATTCCATGCATGGCTCATTTTTCTTCCTCTCACCTTCATGTCTCCCAAATTTGAAATTCCTCTCTTTGCTTCCTTCAAAGACCCCTCAAACCTCCATGCCTCAATGCAGACTTTTTTGGATAGGATGTATTCACTTAGGTGTTTATCCAATATTGGACGCTCATTCCGGACCAGGCACCACGCAAGCACCACGTAGGCCTGTGTGACTCCATGGTCCACGGAGGAGGGAGAAGAGTCCTCCAGATGGATGACAGACATCGGGGGAGCTGGAGGTCTCAGGGGAACAGATGCTCAGAGGAAGGAAAGTGAGGGCTCCCAGCCCAGGATGGGACAATCTCATGGCGGCTGCTTTTCCTGTAAAACTAGGGACAGACTCTTTCTATGACAACGCCTTTCTTGAGATGTTAAGCATGAGAACTATCAACACTCCGTCGGCCCTGGAACCTGCCTTTTCCTAGCCATGTCTAGCTCTGGCCAGGATCCTGAAATGCTAGGAGGACACTCTGTGTTCTTGCCTGTGAGAAGGCTTAACATATCTTCCTCCAGTGTCCCAAGGCCACCAAGATAAGGAGCTCAGAAAAGGCTTCTGAAGGAACCGCAGAGCTGAGCTAATTAAAGTGAGTTCTAAGGCTTGGCCAAGGCCTCCTTCCCTCCACCCGCATGGTCACCGAGAGGGAAAAGGAACCTATCCTTAAAGTTCAGCCTCTGTCTCTCCTCAGAGAGGCTGCTCTGACACAGTTCAGATCCTTATTCCAGGATCCCACAGTCTGCATGTCAGGTCAATTTGTTTCCCAACAACTTTTATAATATCTCTACTCAAACCATATCTCCTTCTACCATGTGTCTGCAACCAAATCGACTACATCTGTGGAGAGAGATGGAGAAGAAGCTCAGTATTAGCTGTCAGAAGAGACTTATCAATTGCTCATATGCAAGTTCAAATTGAAGCTAAAGAGAATGCAAATAAATCCACAAGAGTCAAAATATGACCTTGAGCACATCCCATGTGAATTTAGACACCACCCTCATGATGTATGTGAAGTACTGAATACTAATGACCAACGAACAGACAAATTGTGGGATGACATCAAAGACGTCATAAGTGAGAAATTAAAATGCCACTAAACAGACAAGATGGAGGGAGGGGAAAGACCACA